CAGCCGAGCATGATTTCATCCACATCTGTAAAGAGACACCTGTATTATTATATGTTGCAATGTCTTTCCCACATGTATTAAAGTAGAGTTTGAAATGCAAATAATTCAGATAAATCCACTCCCAAAATCTGAATTCCCTCATTTGAGAGGTGGGTAAACCACTGTGGTTTTAAATTCACTCAGTTCTATACATAGCACATTAAAAGTGTGACCAAGTGTTAATAACCACAAATGACACATACATACACACTTTGTTAGTGATAAAGATGTCAGTGGAACACATTGTGTGTAGGCTTTCTAGGCAAGCATGCATATCTACATCAGAACAGACACAAACACATAACACACACAGACTGAACCAAGCCACTAGCAAAGTGTGTGTCCGTGTGTGCATGTGCGAGTGTGTGTGAGACAGAGAGATTAGTGTAGTCTACTGTAAATATCACTGACTTGTTTGCATCATTTGGTCTTATGTGCTCACTATGACATTAAGAACAGAGCAGACAGGTTCTGAAAAGGTAGTTTTGTTCAGTGTGTGTGTGTGTGTATCTGTGTGTTTGTCGGATGCAGTATCTTTTTTTGTCAAGTGTTTTTTCATCCCCATCTGCTGAAGACACACAAAGAGGGAGAGAGTGGCAAGTAGTCCTCATGAGATTGGCATAAAAGAGAGTGGGTACGTTTTTCATTGAGCTATGGGACTAGATGCATGTTTATGAATGGGAGAAAGAAATAAGAAATCTAATAATCTTGTCAGCCATGGAGTAACTCAAGGTTCTATCCTTAGTCCCTTTCTATTTGTATTTTTAGTTAAAAAGCTTGTTTGTTGCTTGGACTTTAACCCATAAACCTCTCAACAGTTGCTTGTGTCATAATGGCTATTTTTCTACTAAAGTGACAAAAAAGATGTTGCCATACATTATATCCTGCCATGCCTATGAGACAGGTAGAGTCTCACATAAAACTTTGAAGAATGTCCATGTTGCATGGGAAGAGTCTTGACTGAGACATGAATGCCCAAAAAACAGCTATCTTAACCTGATAACTAAACCCAACATCCCTGCATGTTCTATGTGGGAACCTGGCAAAAGAGAGGGGAGGAGTGCCAGACAGACAAACTATAAACTGTGTCTGAGCCTTTTTAGACTTGATTGAAAGTGAAAAGAGCAGCAGTGTCACCATCACATTCATCCCGTGGCCTGAGCAACAATAGGCTTTAACCTAACAGATACAGACATAGAGAGGGGGGGGGGGATTTGGTCCATAGTCGAGAGAAAGAGAGAAAACAGCTCTCTCAGTTGTGGGAGAGATTGAATCCTGAATGTCATCTGCCATCAAAAGTTTTGCACTCATTTGAAATGCTATACTGGATTTCTGGAGGCAAGTGCAGTAATGACTGATGACTGACAAGAACCTATGTAGACAGCTTTGAGGGAAGATAGCTCCCAAATGTTCCCCCGATGCTTTTAAGAAATGCTCTCCTCCTGATTTTTAAATGATCTCTTGGCCTCCGCTGTGAGGATTTTGCTACCGGAAGATCAAATTTGGACTCCATTACACTAAGCTGTGGTTTGTGCAAATATGCTGGACAGGTATATCTATTATAGAGACAGAGGAAAGGAATGGAAAGCCTTTCTTCTGACATTTATGATATTACCATGTGGTGCAAGACACAAAGATTAGTTGGACAGGCGAGCTCAGTAGGGGAGAGAGATTTCAACAGTTTGGAGGACTCTTTATGTCTATCACTGGCAGATGCATCAGCTTCTCTTTCTCCAGCTGCAGTCTGCTCTCTCAGTGTCTGACTCATCCTTCCTGTCATAGTCAGATGCCCTGTTAGACGCAGTGGACAGTTGGTGCTGGTCAGTCAATGTCTTAGAAATTAGTTAGTTGACACTATTATTCGTGAGAAGGCATGTGTAGTTATGTTTCAAGCTAACATGTTTGCCAGTTGTGATGGATGGCATGAAGCCAGCTGGGTCAGTTTGTCAGAAAGTCGGTCAGTGGATCAGTCAGTGGTTTTCATGTGGTTCTAATAATTGTTGAATAGGTTTGCTGGTGGGTAGTTCAGATGGTTTTGCCACATTCAGACCAAAATGGGATTGCACAACAAAAACTGCAAAGGATCAATGCTTCCTTGCTTTACTTTACTTGTAATCATCAATTCCTTCATTGTATTTTCTCTTTGTTAAGTAAGTGTACATGTAGCAGGAATTCTGCATGAACACAGGCCTTCTGTCAAAGTTATTTCTGGCCAAACGCAGTCTTGTTTATTGTATCTATAGTTCAGTGTTTTCTTTGATTGTCAGCAGTGTTGTGAATTAGTTTGAAATTGTGGATAGGATTGGTCTCGGTTAAGAACCTATCCTTTGTGTATTTTGTGTGACAGTGTCTACATTCAACAACATACACCAGTCTCTTTTCAACTCTTTATGTAGACACCCCTTTAGCTTCTTTGTTGTAGCAAGTTGATTGGATCTCATGTACTGTATGTGTGTTTTGGTTTGTGTGTGTCTGCTCTCAACCAACATTTGGTTTGGATAAACCTATTGTGGGATTTTGCCAAGAAGAGATGCTTTAACACAGACTTATAAGGCTCCTCTACCATGCATGCCCATACCCCCGGAATTGAATCATTGTCTGTGAATGTGTGTTTTCATTTTTCTTTGTTGGTTTGTCAGGACTTTAGACATGTAATAGTTTTCAGCCCATGCCTAAAATGACCATATGATTGCTTTCCAGTTAGCTTGCTCATCCTCCTTTTATGTTTCTTTCTCTCTCCTGTCTTTTGAACTGTAAAAGCAACAGTGAGGTTGCTATGGTATGATGAGATATAGTAATCCATTGTTCACACACACACACACACACGCACTCACATCTCACCTCATAAATAATTGACCTGTCACTGTAAGACGACAGGACAGACCAGATACACTCTCTCCTTCTCTATTCTCTGTTCTCTTACATTTCTCCTCTCATCTTGTCTCCTTTAGCTTTTTGCGGAGTCACCATATTGGTAGTCAGCCTGCAGTTTGTCGACATGTACTTTTGCTTCTCCTCAGTTTTAGTAGCTGACCTATACAGACTAATTCAACGTGCCAAATTGGCCAAACAGCTGCTTGAAATGGCCAACTACAACCAACGATGCCTGACATACCACAAAAAGTACAAACAATGGTCAGCCCCAGACACTCAACAACACGTTGCGTCCAACAGCAGACAGCCTACTTGGTGTATGAGGGCTGTAAAGATTAACTTTGCAAAGCATAGTTACAGTCAATCTATTGTATCAACTATCCTTGATGGTCTGGGGATTGTGGATACTATGTGTGGGCAGGAAATGAATACACCATAGCAACCTCTTTTCACTGCACAAACACAAATGTTAAGAGACATAAGGAGAGAGGTCGAGAGAGTATCAGATGGCACAGTCCCTTGGTGAAGACATCTCATTGAAATGTGAATTTTGTACTGAAGTTTCAGTCTGTAGGTTTGTAGAGGCTCAGATTACCACAGATGCTCTGTCTCTCCCTTTCTAATGCTTTTTTTCTACTTGTTAGTCCACACATGGAATTTGGGTAGAAGCTAAAACGAAGACGGTCGTTTTAGATCATCATAAATACCCATGGAAAGTCAGGGACATGGTTGTGTTAATAACTGCATAAAAATGATTCTAATTAAAAAGTCAGTCAAGATGAACAAATGCATGTTACCTAGCTCTTTATGCTGCAATAAAGTCTCACTTCTTTCCCCTTCTTCCTTGTGTCTTTCCAGGCTTTCACCTCAGTGGCACAGTAACTGAACCCACCACATCATCCGAGCCAGAGGTCACACACAAGGTGGCCATCAGCTTCGACCGCTGCAAGATAACCTCAGTCACTTGTGGCTGCGGGAACCGGGACATATTCTACTGTGCGCATGTGGTGGCACTGTCTCTTTACCGGATTCGCAAGCCTGAACAGGTAATAATCACGATACACAGTATTTATTCTCTTAATATTTAGCACCTAATTGATACAGTTTAAAGTAAAGTTTTCAATATGCATCAAATATAAACATAGATATATATATATATATCAAACATACACAAAAACAAGTAAGTCATCTGAAGAAGGCAACTCAAACATTTACATTCCAAATTAGAACTAAAGCAAAGTTAAAGGGTGAAAAAAATCCCATAGTTTTAGTTTTTCAATTTATTTTCAAATATTAGTAAAGCTCTACGATCACTTCACTCAGCATTATTTGTGGTAAACTTCTGTAGCCTTAGTTATGTGGTGCAATAAGTCTAGACATTATGCAACTTCACCAAGAGGAACAGCTTTAAAATCATTGGCAGAAGCTGATGTTGCTCTGAAAACGTTACAGTGTTGCTTCAAAGCCTTAAAGTGTTTATTGAGTGTTTTTGGTTTGATTAGAGAGTTCTTAAATAAAGACAGAAGGTATAGACTGACACTTTACAATAAGAAAAGTTGCCATGTCATGCACCAACACGTGTGTGTGCGTGTGTCTGATGCAGGTGAAGCTGCGGCTGCCCATCTCAGAGACGCTGTTCCAGATGAACAGAGACCAGCTGCAGAAGCTGGTCCAGTATCTGATAACAGCCCACCACACTGAGGTGCTGCCCACCGCTCAGAAACTGGCTGATGAGATCCTCTCCTCTAACTCCGAGATCAACCAGGTTCATGGTGAGAGGACAACGTCTGAGCCAAAATGTTCAGTCTGTGTTTGATTTGATTTCAAGCAACAAAAAGTGTGATTTCTATTGTAACTTTTATGTAGCACCATCTTTTAATGTCAGACAGGTAGACCAGTCAATAGCAAAGTTTTGCTGCCTTATCTTAATTCTTGAAAAGTTTTGCTTTGTGAAGATGCTGTCCATCCCTCTGCAGTGATATCTTCACAGCAACAGGCCAGGCTTAAAAGCCTCCAGACTTGAAACATGCTGCATGCAAGCCTACAGGCTGTCATACGTCAGAGCCCCTGATTATTCTGGTGAAGCAGCGAACCCAGCTTCAAATGGCTTGTTTGATTTCTCCGTTCCCACTCTCCAGTCACCACCTCCTTCCAGTGGCAGGGCTATGTTGAAGAAAGCAGAGAAATAGGAGTTGAATGATGAAATGGATGCTGCAGAGGGTAAAAACGAGAGATGTGTGGAAAGGAAGGGGACACTGAGAGGAAGAGACAGGAGGAATGGCACTCAGGGAAATGGGAGGGAGGAGACGGGAAGGAGTGGAGAGATGAAAGGGCCGGAGAAAGTACGGAGATGAAAAAGAGGAGGAGAACAGCAATGGGCGTGCATCAGGGAAACGACAAACGAGACACATCCTTTCACCAAACAAAACTCTTTATGTTTCTCTATTTCATCCTCCTCGCTAAATGTTGACATTCTCCAGCTCTCCTGGCCAGGAAGCCCCGGGCTGTGTTTCCTCTCAGCGAAGGGGGATCATGAGGGTTGAAGTTCAGTGGATCCAGGAGCGAGGCAGCCTTTGATGGAGGAATGTTGCTGTTTGCTGCAGCGTACTCCCAGCCAGTTGGAAACACATCTCTGGGCCTTCCTCAGCTCACTTCCTGCTAGATCAAAGCAGCTCCCCCCCTTCAGTGCACATCTACATTTCCCTGTAGTATTTATCAGACGCACACGCTCAGTGCGGAATAGAAGAAAAATAAAGTTGGACTTATATCCCCGCAGTGTATGATTAGTGTTGAAAGAGCAGCCTTTTGTAAATGTCACGTTGGTGCACTTTAAGTTAAATGTTAAAACAAATAGGTTTGAAAGCAGTGAGTATTGGCAACGATTGCGATGACCTCAGAATTACTGATTTCTTAGTTTTGCTGTCAGGATGGTTATTTATGACTCGCTCTCAGCATTGAAGGAATACACCTGGGATCAAATTTCAGTAACGAGCAAAGGAAGCTGTGATTTTGTGGAGCGACTATCTAAAAGTAATCTCCATTTTCCATAGTTACCCTCTGTTTAATTCTTTCTTGGGTTAAGAACTGGGAATAGGAAGGAATGGAGCGACCCATTGAATATAAAGACGTGCCTTTGCTTACAGCATCTTTGATTATGTGAGAGGAATGGTGATGTTGCAGTGAAACTATGCCTCTGTCTTCAGTTTAATTCAGTTTTTCATGCAGTTCCGTGTAGTATTGTGTGTGCCTATCATTAAGTATGTCTGTGTGTGTGTGTATTCCCAGGTGCACCAGACCCAACCGCAGGTGCCAGCATTGACGATGACAACTGCTGGCATCTGGACGAGGATCAAGTCAGGGAGCAAGTCAAACAGTTTCTATCCCAGGGAGGATACTACGGCTCTGGGAAGCAGCTCAACTCCATGTTTGCTAAGGTACACATCGCTGCTTCCTACCTCTGCTTCAGTATTATAGTATATATATATGTATTATTATTAATGCCAAGAAACCAATAATTTTAAAATATGTAGCAGCCCATTTGAACAGACCAGTGATCATTTTGAAACTATAATAAAAGGCGTCACATTTGTGTGATAAACTCTTACAAGAGAAAACAATGGTCTAT